CAAACAAAACGTGGGGCTGCAGGTTGGCGTCTGTGACTAAACACAGGTTGGGTAGAAGTATCCTGGGAATGAACGAGGTCACTAAAGTGGACGTGACTTTAGAGACGAATGTCCCCACACTGTACCAGGTGGACCAGGAGAGTAAGCACAGTGTGTGTCCCCAGCACCGCGCTGTCATTGGACAATAGAAGTCATGCTTATTGGACCCAAATGACCAGTAAGAATGTCAAATGACAGAAATTCTCCTTCTTTTGTCCAGTTGCCAACGAGGCGGCGCCGAGCTCCCGCTTTCCACCGGCCCACTTGGCACGTGAGTTCATCCAACTTGTGTTTCAAACAGCGACCTCTGTAATGCAGGTAAATACCGTGTGACGGGGGCTTCTGTCCACACGTGAGGGGCACATGGACATGTGACCCGCCATGAATACGTCCCCTGCAGAAGGGGACACTGAGCCGGCTGTCAGTCCAAACAGTCGCACAACTGGAGGCAACAACAAGTCGGCCAGAAAACTCTACTGATTCTGTTCAGACTTCATTCTTTAACTATCCCCACTTTCTTTGTGCAGCATCAGGATTTGCTCCTCTGATGTGTGTTTTCCAGCAGTGGGTCTAAGCCTCCTTTGTAGTTGACACATCTTTTTTCTTCAACTGTGTTCACTCCTCCGTGTCCATTCAAACACGTCCTCGTCTCTCCGTCTTACGGCCGACTGCGTCAATCACTTTGGTCCCTGATGGATTAAAACATGGACGCTGCACACGTGGAAATGCTAGCAGGCGCTTTTGTGTCCATCGTTCAGGCTCACGGTCCCAGAATGCACTGCGCACTGCCGTCCCAGCGGCTGTTGGCATCACTGAATACAAAGGAGTTCAGAATGAAGAGATCCTGAAGGATGAGCTGCCGGTCCTTGGTGCCCCGGACACCATGGAGAAGACTGCCAGCAGGTCACACACACACACACACACACACACACACACACACACACACACACAGCGGCCTTTGCTTCATGTAAATGTATCATTCACATGCCAAATGAAGCTGTGATGAAGGGAAACGTGGAAGAGGAGCTTTGCTTGCTGCCTTTGCTAAACAGATGGTGTCCTTTACTTTAAGTTTTACTCGCCACACATAGAACAGGCTTTGCGCTTCCTTTCATGGCGTTCTAGCCAATTGTTTAGAAGGTGCTTTGAGACGGGACTTCAACCCACAATCTACGTCCACTGAGTGAGACAGAACCCAGTTAGAAAAGAGCGCTGCAGCTTTCTTTGCAGTGACATTAACAGTGAAACTGCTGATTTGACTTTGACATTACCAACTGCACTGCCATGTAATATGGGCGCACGTATTATACAGCCCAGATTGTGCTAATCACTCCCAAACCATCTGTGGGAGATATATTCTATCTATAGATTGTACAGCTCCCCAATCCAGCGGTTGGGACGGTCTGAATGGAGGGCAGATGCTGCTGGGCCTCTATGTGTTGCAGGTCGCGCTGTCTTGTGAAGCAGCTGGAAAGGGGGGAGGCATCTGTGGTGGAGCTGAAGAGAAACCTGGACTACGCCGCCTCAGTCCTAGAAGCTCTGTGCATTGAGGAAGCCAGGCGAGAGATTTCACTTCTGCTTTTCTCAAATAATCCATGAACATGAAGAAAAAGGGATTTTAAAATGATTTTCTTGAATTCTTTCACGATCGGCAGCTAAATAGACCTTTGAGCAGAGGTGGAGGAGCACGTAGAGAAATGGCCAAACGCAAACGTTTGTCCTAAAAAACCAACCTGTGGAGCAGAGGAGTCCACAAAAGGTACAACAATCCAAAGAATCCAAGGGGAAACATTGAAGTGTAAAAGCAGAAAGCAGGTGAGGTTCAGGTTAACACATCATCCTCATGCACGCAGGACTTTATGGACACAAAGGGTTTCTTCCCGTCGGCAGTCGGCTCATCAACAGAGCGCGGCTCCCCCAGCGTTTTAATGGCACACGGTACTGGGCCATTCCAGTAGCACGGTGGCTTCCTCACTCATTTATAAATCACAACGGGATCATTTACCCACAAGCTACGTTGCCTTAAGCATTTTCAAGCTAAAGTAAAGCACTCTAAATATCTTAAGACTATATTAACTGCAATACCCCGTAAATTGGTGAAAGGCAATTAAATATTGTATGTTAGTAAGTAAGATCGTCCATGGATGATAAATAAATTACAATTACATTATCATTCATTCATATTATTTTACTACTAATTAGTATTTAAATGATTCCATTAAGTCTGTGTGTATGTTTTAGTAATATATTTAATTTAACGAGTAACTCGTGGCTCAATACGGTTTCCAAGTTTCTAACCCAGAATTGTTTAAATTCTTGCTGCACAATGTTGCGAGCCTTATTCCTTATAGGACAGTGGGACCCTGAACATGAATACAGGAGACCAGCAGGCAGTTACTAGTTAGTTACACAAAATGTGTCCGACCTGAAGGTAAACCAGTAGTCAACTCTCGTCTTGTGGAAGTTGTAACAAAATGACGGCAGGACGTTTCAGTTAAATGTGAATGTGTCTGAACGCTGGTAAATACGCGTCACATCAGCCACGTGGTCAACATGTGACACAATCGGCTGGACTCGTCTCACTTACATACAAGATGGATACAATTGAGTATCGTCTGCATCGTCATCAAGGTTTCACCGTTTCCAAACACAAACTGGGATCGATCTGATAAATACGACATAAACCAGCTGAATGTGGTTCCATTTGTGTGGAATATTGCTATATTTCTTCAGCAGTAACATATAAACTGATCTCAACACACAAATCCATAGATTTTGCAGGTGCAGGATAACAAAAGAAGCTAGAATTCAATAACGAGTTCCCAGTTGTTAAATTCTATATCAGTACAAAGTCCTCCAGACTAAATTGTAACTGGTGTTTTTATGTTTTCTTATTGATGGTACCTTAACAAAGGAATCCTAGAAATGAACAGTTGAACCGTTATGTGGACATTCACGTGCTAATAAAGCTTCTGTGTGTCTTTTCTAGCATGTGGACATGTGGTCCTTTGATGTGTTTGCACTGAACGATGCTAGTGGGGACCACGCTCTGAAATTTGTCTCCTATGAGCTATTCACCAGATATGACTTGATCAACCGTTTCAAGGTATGTTCATTTTGACAAGACGCTGTGTATGTAATGAGCACAATGTCAGTGACAGCAGAACTAAGTATTGATGGGAACGTACTGGGTTCAACAGAACAACTTCTCTGTATTGCTTCTACAATTCTGCAAAGCAACTGGTTGTTCCTTGTCTGTTGAAGGTCCCTGTTTGTGTCCTCATATCCTTCGTGGACTCGTTGGAAGTGGGCTACAGCAAACACAAGAATCCCTTTCACAACCTGACGCATGCGGCTGATGTCACACAGACCATTCATTACCTGCTCCTCAAGACCGGCATGGTGGTACGTTCAGGGTTGGGTAAAAGCACAATGCAATACGCTTTTCAAAAGTGCCTGCAGACTTCCTCAGTGGATCTTACAAGTCACTCATCACAGCTTTCCTACATCAAAATCCAATCGGGACGGGATGAATGATGACTGACAGGTAGATAATAATGATGCAATAGCAAAGTTAGCGTTGTCTCTGACTGTAAATGGATGAAAGGCTGCATGTCTTTCAGACCTTGGACTCAAGCAGAGTAGTGCTCATTCCGTCCCGGTCTTGGACCAGTGGACCAGCTCTTTACCCTCCCGAGACTACTGAGGGGGTCCTGGCAGTTTGCCCAACCAGTCTACATGTGCTTTGTGGAAGGAGAAGGCTTTTGACTCTCCAGTTGGTGACTTTCCTGGACAGGATATCTAGGCGCACCCGGGGGTGGAGGACCTCGGGTCGGGGGTCTCCATCTCCTCTCTGCTGGTGCTGATGTGATGTCCTGTTGGCCTCCTCGCACAGTGACCTCCAGCACTCGGTGAGGCACTTTGCACCAGATCCTCTTGGTGAAGAGCTCTATTTGCTTTCATTTGAGTTGAGGTGCTACTGGAAAACAACCGAGGTGGTTCAGGCACACTGACAACTGGCAAAGAGACTCTGTGCTGGTTCACTTCCAGCAGGAGAACCGCACAACGTTAAGCAGGACGGTTTTTAATCTTCATCTCCCGATTGACACGTTCCTCCTCGTCTGTCTGCCTCTCTCCTTCAGCACTGGCTCAGTGAGTTGGAGATCTTTGCCATCATTTTTGCAGCTGCCATTCATGACTACGAGCACACAGGGACCACCAATAACTTCCATATTCAGACAAGGTAATTCCCACGTAGCATCGTTTGTAGCATTTCAATCCCTGCAGTCTCTGAGGACAGTGGACAACACTGGAGCATGAAGAGAGATCTAACAGGTGACCTAATAAAAAGCCTACTATGAATGATAGCAGCTTTACCTCATACATTGTTGGCATTATCACGATGACGGTGAGGGAGATCATTCCTGAAGTAGCCGTGTCGCATTCGCAGGTCAGACACCGCCATGTTGTACAATGACCGAGCGGTTCTGGAGAACTACCACGTCAGTGGTGCATATCGCCTTCTACAGCACAGTGATGACATGAACATTCTGTCTAATCTCTCCAAAGACGAGTGGAGGTAAGAGAAGAGCGCTGCAGCTGAAGGGACGTCCTTTTTTACCGCTGTTTCCATTCAATGACTTCAAATAATAATTCACTGTACAATACAACCCCCAGATTACAGTGCAAGTCATTGCTTCTAAAATACTGCCTCCTACTGGTGCTTAGAGGGAGCTACAGCTGATGATACCAGGGAGTAACACATAACCTTATTTTACAGTCAAGCAGAATCAAATGACTCATTTTAGGGACAAGTTGAGTAGTTTGGGGCAGAGTTGCATCGATCTGGCACTGCATTGCTGCAGAAATATAGAAGTGACAGCAACAGGATGAAAGCATCTCAGTCTCCTCTGATTAAACTTTCCCCAAGCTTCATCTAAGATTCATTCTGTAGGGAGCATGAATGTTTTACTGCCTGCCCTCTTTCAGAGAGCTTTGGGCTCTGGTGGTGGAGATGGTGTTGGCCACAGACATGTCCTGCCACTTCCAGCAGATCAACGGGATGAAAAGCCACCTGCAGCAACATGAGGCGTGAGTGTTTCACGTCTGGGTCCGTCCCGCCTCATGCTGCCAGTCACTCCAGTCCTTCACAATGCTGAAACTATCAAACCATGATTGTTTCTGCTTTACAACCCTTCACGCGCCGCGTCCACTAACTGGACTGGACTTGCAGGCCGGACAAAGCAAAGGCCTCGTCCCTGCTACTGCACACTGCTGACATCAGCCACCCTGCCAAACGCTGGGACCTCCATCATCGCTGGACCACATCCCTTCTGGAGGAGTTATTTAGACAGGTGACCACTTTGAATCAATGAGCGGCCTTTTCATTTATGCAGTACTCCACATGGCTCTGCACTAGTGACGAATAAGAAGAAGACAAAGTTTGGACCCTTATTTGGTAAAATAAGCAGATGAGTACTCTGGGTGTAACATCAGATAAACCAGCGCTGCCGCTCGCAGCTCACCGCCTGCTAACAATAGTTGATTGTATACATTCATTAGAATAAGGTTTAGTCTTTGTACATGTGAATTAGTAATGAGGTAGTAGAAGACGCTCAGCACCTTCTGGTGGACTTGTCCTCCAGTAGCAGGCAGTCAGTGGTTGTTCATGTGAGACAAGGACTTAGGAGGAAGGCGTGTAGGGAGGGGAGGAGATGAACTGTGGCTGAAAACATGTCGACAGTCCGAATCCACTCAGCGAGGAAACATTACAACAACAGGATGATTGTACATGTAGTCTGAAGTGCTGAAGCAGCCATGTGATTGTCTGATTGTTTCCACCTGTGTCCAATGACCTGCACCTCCCGAGTGTATTTAAGCCATGTGTGTCACTTGTCGTGTCATTGTTGAATGTCCGGAAGTCCATGTCTGAGTTTCCCTGGTTCCTGTCGCCGTTTTTGCCCCTTTTTTGCTTTTGGATTTTTTTGACCAATAATGTCTCTTTGTTTTTTGAAACTCTGCGTTTGAGTCCTGCCTTTCCCGCCATCCTGACAGAATGACGCGACCTTTCAAGGACTCAGCAGAGTTTTTTCCCCAGAACCAGTTGTGGGGAACTCGTGGGAGAACGCCAGCTGGCTTCCTGGCAGACGCAGTCGGCTCTCCTAGAGTCCCGGGAAGGTGTTCGGGTCGCCGTTATCGCCGCCCGTCATGACAAGCTTAGCCTAACCGGAAATGACTTTGACATTAATGGCCAACAGTACCTACAGATTAGTGGAGCAGCCATGGCAAGACATTTGCCCCGGCCTATGCAGATATTTACATGGCCACTTGGGAAGAATCCATTCTCCCTTTGTGCGCCAAACGTCCCAGTCATTACTACAGCTATTTGGATGAAGTCTGGGTCTGGCCTCACTCAGGAAAGGAGTTTGACTTCTTCCTCCAGACCTTCAATTCACACCACCCGGTCATTAAACTTACAGCCGTCACCAACTAATTGGAGCTTTTTGGACTTTTTCACTTCAAGGGGCCCAACTTCTCATTGTCTCCCTTTAAATTAAAGTGTTTTTTTTTTTAAACCAACAGATTCACACTTATTGCTATATCGCACCGGTAACCATCACCCTCACGACTTCATTCTGAAGTCCCAATTATTCTCAGCCTGACCGCCCTCTGATGCATTACACCAAGAGACCCAGCTACTCCCGGATGGTCAGGTCAAAGGTCAATGAGATGCGGCCCATTGATGCCAGGGGGAAAGCTAGGAGACTGCAGCGCATCTCTCTGCGTCGCCGGAAATGAGCCCATGGTATAAAGTCCTCAATCCAACGGGTCTCCTTCATTTCAAACACGTATCCTTAACTGTTTCTGCATCACCCACTTTGTTCTGCTGACGTCCCTCTCCTTTTTTCCCTTTTGGAGACCTGCTACTCTTAAATGACTTCTCACATCATTTCCTTATGTGTTTTTGGTTTTATTATTTAAATGTACATTGATGAAATTAACGTATAATACTGTACATATTATTCTGTATATAGTAGGCTTTCCTATTGTTTTTCCTATTCAGTTATATTCTCATTTTGTGTCACTGCTGAATCTTCTCTCCTGATATTGTCTGAAATCATCTTGTCTAAATAACTCATTACAATGTTAACATTGAGTATTTTGTGGTTATATGATAATCAAATGTTTACATCTGATCTCCATCAGTTTACTGTAAAGATCCTGTAGTTGTACACAATGTGTCAGAAAACAGCTGGCTCTGCTAATTGTATTTAAGAACTGTGATGTGATTTATGATGTAGAGAGAGAATGTAGAATAGGAGATGATAACAAGAACTGTGCCAGTGGGCCTCCAGCAAAGTGCCTGTGACAGAGCCAGTGATGAGGTGGCGTGACAGGAAATCAGCTACGCTCATCAACGGCCTCACATGTGGATATCAGGACAGCATGAAGCCTGTAGAGCTAAACACACATATCTACCCACTACAGCTGTGGTCAAACGTTTACATACACTTGTAAAGAACATGATGTCATGGCTCTCCTTGAGTTTCCCCTTATTCCTACAAGTCTGATTTTCCTCTGATAGAAGTATCTGTTCCAATCACTCTGTCACAAAAACATTCATGAGGTTTGGTTCTTTTAGGACTTAATTATGGGTTAACAGAGAACATGACAGAATCTGCTGGGTCATAAATATACATACAGCAGTGATAATATTTGGTCACATGTCCCATGGCCATTTTCACTTCTATTAGGCGCTTTTGGTGGCCGTCCACAAGCTTCTCGTTGAATCTTTGACCGCTCCTCTGGACAACAGAATTGGTGCTGTTCAGTTAAATGTGATGGCTCTCTGACATGGACTTGTTTCTTCAGCATTGTTCACATCCACCAGCACCAGATCCATTGGCAGCATAATACTACCACCACCGTGCTTGGCGGTAGACATGGGGGGTATTCCAGAAAGGAGGTTCAACAAACTCTGAGTCTATCCCTGAACTCCGAGTTGACTTACTCTGAGTATCCGCTTCCAGAACAGCTGATCTGCGTTAGTTCATTCATTTTTTGGTTTCGTCTGACCACAGAACTTTGCTCCAGAAGGTCTCATCTTGGTCCACGTGATCAGCAGCAAACTTCAGTCGAGCCTTAAGGTGGCGCTTTTGGAGCAAGAGCTTCCTTCCTGCACGGCAGCCTCTCCGTCCATGGAGATGCCAAACACGACTGTGGACATGGACACTGTGTTCCAGCAGCTTCTACTTCTTGGCAGATCTGCATGTTGGTGGTTCTCTGTTGACTGTTCCCCCTCCTGACCAATGTTCTCTCAGCAGCAGGTGATAGCTTGTGTTTTCTTCCTGATGGTGACAAAACAGCGTCGTGCACTTTATACTTACAAACTACTGTTTGCACTGTTGCTCTTGGGACCTGCAGCTGCTTTGAAATGGCTCCAAGTCACTTTTCAGACTTGTTCAAGTCGATGATTCGCTTTGTCAGATCCATGCTGAGCTCCTTTGACTTTCCCATTGTAGCGTCACCAGAGTCACCAGCTGTAGTCACTTATAAGCACTCACAAGAGGTTAAGAGGCCATGAAGCTCATTGCATTGACACAACGTTCTAAGGCACCAAAATTGCTAATTCATGTTGCTGTATGTATATTTTACACCGAGCAGATTTGATCCCTTTTATTTATATATATATATTTCTGTCCAACACACACTTTCAATACTCCACTTTGTGAGGAGATAAACTCCACCCTGTTATCAAATGTGTGCTTGTGCTTTGTGTGTTTTTGTTGGTGACTTAAGTGTGATATTTGGTGCAGAATGAAAGCTTCAAGTTGCACCTGAAGTAGCGAGCTCAGTAGTTTGTGTTGTTGTGAGACGGCTCTGCGTGAAGGTTAATAAGGTTAATAAAGCAACTTATTCATTACTCATTTCTTTATTTACTCACTTCCTTCTTCAACATGCTGCACCACCAATGTTTCCTCTGTGCTATTGACACAGCAACAGGGCTGTAGAATAAATACAGATATTATGGAGGAAACAGTACAAAAGTCAATAGTACAGCATCTTTAAAAAGAATCAGAGTATTTCATGTCAAAAGAAATAATACAGCGTGTTGAAAGCATCTTTATTTGATGGCCTGTTTAAACATGTACAGTTGTTTCCAATAAAAGTCATTTATTAACATTAG